CTTGATGTACTCTGTTCAAAATAATTAGTGCTAGTTGAGGCTCAGAAGTTAGAGTAAAACGGCTTGCACGTGGCTAGCAAACCAGTGGTAACAATGAAGACTGCAGCTCATATAGAGTGTTGAGCGAAGCATCACTGCGCGTGTAATTTACCCTGTTTTATTGCTCTTGTTTGTTGCACGTGCAATGCCATTGCTCGATTATCTGTGCAAACAAGTTTGGTTTTGTTCCTTTTTATGCCTGTTAATTTTGAGTGTTTTACGCACGCACCAGCGTTTTCAAGCTCGATCACTATAGCCAGGCTACGCTGATGCCGCTTGGCACCCGAGTTTCTGCCTAAAGGTTGGTAAACACAATGCACAATGCCTAAAGATTGCTAAACTCCATCCCACGCCGCATTATTAAAGCTAAGCGGACTTCGAGTGCCCTTTGGGGAAACCAAGAGCACAAAAGCATAGCGCGTACCATACGCCCTTCGCTTTACGTGCACTCCCGATCGTCGAAAGTCCACGGACGTACGGACGGATGGACGGACGGATGGATGGATGAATAGATGGATGGTTGAATGGATGGATGAATGGATGGATGGATGGATGGATGAATGAATGAATGGATGGATGGATGGATGGATGGATGGATGGATGGATGGATGGATGGATGGATGGATGGATGGATGGATGGATGGTACGAGCGTCCCCTTTATGAAGAGGTAGTGACATGTGTGCCACCAGGCTCGCAAGAAAATTTAAAAAAAGCTTTCTTTTATGTTGGCCAATACTTTACTTATTAATTTTGGTGATGAGCTTTAATTGTGCTTGCAATAACCTTTTATTGTAGGGTGCTGATCGCACTACAACGAAATGTTTTTAGTAGTATATCATGACACCTCGGGATTTTAATTGTTTTTATAAAAAGAAAAAAACATGGAATGAGAGAGAGTGAATTACAGCTTCAGTCGCCATTCACAACTGTTATATTGGGCAAAATTTACAGACACACCCATGTGCTTACGTTTGGTTGGTTGATTGATTGATTGATTTGTGCGGTTTAACGTCCCAAAACCACCATTTGATCATAAGAGACGCCGTAGTGGAGGGCTCCAGAAATTTCGACCACCTGGGGTTTTTTAACGTCCACCCAAATCTGAGCACACAGGCCTACAACATTTCCGCCTCCATCGGAAATGCAGCCGCCGCAGCCGGGATTTGATCCAGCGACCTGCGGGTCAGCAGTCGAGTACCTTAGCCACGAGACCACCGAGGCAGGGCTGATTACATTTGGGTTGGCTTTGAAGCATCCAGATGATCAAATTAATTCAGACGCATGCCTCTATAATTTCTATTTTCACTGATTCAGTGTTGGTATATTATTTCACGCAAAACATCGACCTTCTTTTCACAATACCTAGAGTGGTTCTGTGGTGTTGTTATACACTGACGGGAAGAGGGGGCATCCTTCACCTGAAAAAAAAAAGGAAATCTATCAAATCAAATAACCGAACCTCCATTGCATCGCTCACTGTCATGCAGATAATGAATCGAAGAAAGCTACCTGCTCAACTGCTTTCTTTTTGTACCCTATTTATAGCAAGAATCGGCGCGCTAAAGCACTGTCAGCCATGTGTCTTTCTTGAATACACTTATCACTGTCCAAAGTAAATTTGACGTAGAAGTGACGTAGAAAAAAATGTGGAGAAGTATTCGCGGTTATTTAACTCATCGCCAAATAACATGAAATTTTGTTTTCTTTTTCTAGTACCCAGTTTGCATGAAGTAAAGAAATAATTAAGTCGGACTATAACAGGGCTGAGTAGGTGGGACCACAAGCCCAACACTTATAAGTAGATATACAATAAACGTGACATAGTGCAAAAATGTAGACAGTCGCCAAGCGTAAACGTCCCTTTCACAAACAGATTGCCTTACTCTTACAAGTAATGTTAACGTTCAGCTAGCTTTGTGCATCCAATCGGCAATAGACGACATACATAGTAGGCTGTGGACAACGCATTTTATTCCCCGACAATCCACTCAGAACGCTCACAACAACGCGTTGCTGCGTACAATTCTATGCCTGCTGTCGACCGCCTATCAACACTCGCGTGGTGACGGTGCGGCCACCTAATGCCCGATCTCGGGACAAATAGAACAGATTTTTTTTTCGTCGAGAAATGATAAAAGAGTGATATGTTTTGCCTCTTGTTGTATGTTGGCAGGGTCTCCTCATAGAGCCTTCATAGAGTGGACATCGAATTTCAGGTGAACCCTTTTCGAGGTGTTGGGGAACCCCCTTCATCTTTGCAATGGATATTTGGTACAGGCGTACAGCAGTGTTACACGATGAAGTTTTGCTTGAAACTGGAGATAAAACTGCACGTCAGACTTAGGACACGATAAAGACTGCCCATGTTGAAGTGTTTTTGAGTGGCACAATGTATTTTGTTACGGAAGAGAGCAAGTTGAAGAGCAGCAATGGTCAGGAGGCCCTTCAGCAGCTACAAGTGATGGTGAAAATTTGAAATCTTTTGAACTGTAACCACAGCTTGAGTGTATGAATAACATCAAAACAAACAACTTCATGAAAGACTATTGTGCATGACCTTATGGCTGAAAACTTGGAAGTGAGAATAGTTTGTGAGAAACTGATGGATCACGAACGCTGCATCACGACAATACGTCGAGTCACACCACTTGTGTTGGAAAGGACTGCCTGGCAAAACCTGGCATCACCCAGTTTGTCATTCCATTGCACTTCTTCCCCTTGTCCCGAATGAACAGAGTTGTGAAAGTGTGGCACTATGGCTCAGTATATGCAATGAAGAGCTCGTAATAAGGGAGTTCAAGACAATTATTTTTTGTTGTTCCAGGAAGCCTTCAGTGAGTTCCGAGTCGCTGAAAAGCTTTTGTGACGCAGAAGAGCCATAATCCAACACACACACACACACACACACACACAAACACCCACACACACACACACACACACACACATATATATATATATATATATATATATATATATATATATATATATATATATACATATATATTTCAACCACTTTTCTTTGTTCTGATTTACATTACGTTGATTCTAATAACTTCCTCTATACAATCCTGGCATAATTGTCTGTTAGATCTCATTATTATTGTGTCAGAACACGAAAAAAACGAGCATATATATATATATATATATATATATATATATATATAAATGACAACTAACAGACAATAATGCCGAGGAAGGTATAGGGGAAGTTATTAGGCCAATTGTAAGGTAAATGAGAAGAAAGAAAAGTAGGTGAAAAGATAACTTGCCGTGGGCAGGATCCTGTATACGGGGGACTATTGGTCAGCTGCCAGTAAGTAATAGTTCACGTGCTAAGTGACGCCAAACAGGCTCATAAAGAGTGTACCACACTCGCCGCCATGGCTACTAGTGGCGCTGACTGACACTCCCACGTTTAAATTGACATAGATACCCAATAAAGTGGCTGGGGGATAGCTGTCGTGGTAGCTTAGTGGTAGAGCATCGAACGCCTTATTTGAAGGTCGCAGGTTCGGATCCTGCCCAGGGCAAGTTATCTTTTCACCCACTTTTCTTTCATCTAATTTACATTACAATTGTCCTAATCACTTCTCCTATACCTTCCTTGGCATTATTGTCTGTTAGATCTCATTAATATTGTGTAAAACACGAAAAACGAGCCCTTAGGTATACCCTTGGTTTCCTTATTCATTAACGAGGGTCTCGTACTGGCAGACTTGGTGCCTCTAGGTTGTATACGGGGGACTATTGGTCAGCTGCCAGTTAGTAATAGGTTCACGTGCTACGTGACGCTAAACAGGCTCATATAGAGTGTACCACACTCGCCGCAATGGGTACTAGTGGCGCTGACTGATACTCCCACGTTTAAATTGACATAGATACCCAATAAAGTGGCTGGGGGCATAGCTGTCGTGGTAGCTCAGTGGTAGAGCATCGAACGCGTTATTCGAAAGTCGCAGAATCGGATCCTGCCCACGGCAAGTTATCTTTTCACCCACTTTTCTTTCTTCTCATTTAAATTACAATTGTCCTAATAACTTTCCTTTTGCCTTTCTTGGCATTATTGGCTGTTAGATCTCATTAATATTGTGTAAAACACGAAAACCGAGCCCTTAAGTATACACTTGTTTTCCTTTATATATATATATATATATATATATATATATATATATATATATATATATAAATATGAGGGTATATAGTGTATGCTTAAGAGATCACTTTTCCGTGTTTCGACACAATATTAATGAGATCTAACAGACAATATTTCCAAGGAAAGTATAGGCGATGTTATCAGACCGAATTATAATGTGAATGGGAAGACAGAAAAGTGTGTGAAAACATAACTTGCCGAGGACAGGAACCGAAGCTACGACGTTCGAATACGCGTTCGATGCTCTACCACTAAACTACCACGATGGCTATCTTCCCAGCCACTTTATTGCGCATGTTGTATTTGTCGCATACTGGGAAGCAGCCCCCGCTTCGGGGGAGCGTTAATTGAAAGACTCCGCGGCGAAGAGGGGGAGGAGGGGCAACTCGGAGGGACTCGTTTTCGGGTGGTTCGCGTGACGGGCAATGCGAAAGGAGCGAAGGGCGTCCTTGACATCTGTTTTTACCTACAAGCCCAGCCGTGAAGGGAAAAGGGGGTGAGGGCCACAATGACCCTTCTCGAACACGCGGAAAGCGTTTTGTCCATCTGTCCTTGAAGACCGTCGCACGTGCGGGGTGCGGAGGAAACTCTTTGACAATACTTGTGCTTCTCTGTTTGCTTTTCCTTTTTTTCTTCCCCTCTCTACGACAGCGGTACATAGCGAACGAATAAACCAGTCTTCGTGATGCGTTCAAACTGAAAGGACGTGTTTTTTCTCTGTCGTCGTCTCACTAGAAAAAGTCTGCCTCCCTGCTATTCCGCTACAACATTTTTTGGTGCCGAAACCCGGGAATTAGGGACCCAAAGATGGACATCGACAGGATGAAGCGCAAAAGGGCCGTGGTGCGAACGTCAACAACAAAGCTGCTCAATGACATCGCTACCATGGAGGACGACGCGTCACTCGGTGAGCTTGAAGAAAAGATCAACCTTCTCACCCTTAAGGAAGACTCACTCAAAGAGCTAGATCGGGAAATTGAGATTGGCGTAGAAGATGATGCATTAGAAGAGGAAATTGCATGCTCCGAGAACTACAAAGAAAAGATCAACGTAGCAAGGACTAAAGTACAGCTCATGCTACGTGAGCTTAGCTGCACTAACGCCGCATCAGTGAGCGCTTCGCTAGATCGCACCTCAAGTTCCTCAGATCAAAGAGAATCTAGCCGTAACATCCCGCAAGTAACCCCCACAGTAAAGCTGCCAAAACTAGAGATAGCAAAGTTCAACGGCGAGCTTCGACAGTGGCAAGGCTTTTGGAGTCAGTTCGACACGACAATAAACGCTAACCACCACCTGTCAAACGTGGACAAGTTCAAGTACCTGAACAGTTACTTAACAGGAAAAGCAGCGGCTGCCTGTTGCGGGTCTTGATTTGTCCGACGGAAACTACGAAGTTGCTCTCTCGCTGTTAAAGGAAAGGTTCGGTCGTAAAGAAGCCATAATCGAGGATCACATGTCCAGACTGCTCAATATCAAGTCAGTGCGTGACTCGCGGAACCTCAGCCAACTTCGGAGCCTCGTTGACGAAGTAGAGAGAGGTGTACGGAGCCTCACTTCTCTTGGCGTCGGTGTCAGCACGTACGGAGCTCTGCTCCTGACAGTAGTAAAGAAGGCGGTGCCTGCGGACCTTCATCTCGAATACTGTCGACGAAAGGGCGCTACTACAGGAGGCAAGTGAACTGGAGGCATTTGCGCATTTTTTGAGAGTCGAGGTAGAGGCACGGGAGATTATACAGCGGGCCGAAACACCAAGGGGCATGTGTGTAGAATCGTCTGTCGAAAACCGTAACAGCACCTTTAAAGCGGCGAGAATGTCTTCAGCCGCTGCACTGCATACCATGACCAAGGAGAGAAAAGGGTGTCTGTTTTGTTCGTCAGGGTGCCACGAAAGCGGTGACTGCGATGCAGAGATGTCGGCAGCTGATAAAAGAGAAATGCTGAAGCGTGAGAATAGATGTTTCCGCTGCACAGTAAAGGGGCACACGTCAAGAGAGTGCCGTAAGGCCAAATGGCTCAGGTGTGCCAACTGTAGCGGAAAACACCTCACGGCTATGTGTGATCCTGATTTCAGAGAATACCGTGGCAGTGGTGAACAGAATGCATCCTCTCCAACAGCGACAGGACAAGCCACAGTGCTAAAGTCTTCTCTAGGCTCAGAGGAGAAATTTATGTGCATGGAGGGGCATCAGTTTCTTCTGCAAACAGCACGAGCTTGGACAGTGGGACCGCACAAAAGTACGCTTGTCAGGCTTCTCCTAGATGGTGGCAGTCAAAGGACGTTCATCCATCGCAAGTTGTCTGAAAGACTGCAGTTGAACGTGCTTGGGGAAGAGGAACTTAAAATCTATGCCTTCGGCGACAAGTCCGCTATAACCCGCACTAAAGCGCGTCTGGTCGAGCTGTGGCTGCAAAGCCAGTACGACGGGAAAAGGGCGCGAGTGGAGGCCCTCGAAGTTCCCTGCATCTGCGCAGATATAATGGCTGCGCCTTTAAAGTCAGTTCTTCTGGAACTTTCGAAATTTGGCTTGCCAGTCGCGGACGTCGCGCAGGGTGACGGAAGTGAAAACATTGATCTTCTGATCGGCGCTGATCATTATTGGGAAATTGTCACGGGATCCACTAAGCGCCTAACCTCCAAGCTGATGGCAGTAGAAACTGCATTTGGGTGGACAGTCCAGGGCCAGGTAGGCGCAAAAAGGTCACCAGGAGTCTGTCCCTCTGTTGCTGGCGTAATGCGAGTAGCAGTGAGCGAACAAACTAACAAAGAAATATCAGCACAGTTGAGGTCATTCTGGGAGCTCGAACACATTGGTATCAAGGAACACGAACCAGCTCGCCACCAAGACGCAATCCAACAGCACTACAAAGAAACCGTCAAATTTGAGCATGGGCGGTACACAGTGTCTTTCCCCTGGAAGCCTATGGTTGATGAGCTCGACGACAACTACGAGTGCGCCGCGAAGCGTCTTAGAGCCAACACGACGCGCCTTTTGAAGGGAGATTCCTTGATCGTGGAATATGACGCCTGCATCCGAGAATACATCGAAAAGGGCTATGCAGAGCCAGCCAACAAGCATTGCAGCGCTTCGGAAGGTCCGGTGTATTACATGCCACATCAAGCAGTTGTTCGACAAGAAAGCCTGACAACAAAAGTGAGGGTGGTGTTCGACGCATCATCAAGTGCCAAAGATCGCCTCTCACTGAATGATGTTTTGGAAAGTGGTCCAAAACTTAATCCAGAGCTCATTGATTTGTTGATCAACTTCCGCACTTACAACATCGGCATCGTCGCGGATATTGAAAAGGCATTCCTTCAAATATCTCTGTCAGAGGGTGACCGGAACGCTGTGCGGTTTCTCTGGTATGCTGCCACTCCGAAGAAAGGTGAAGAACTTCCAGCGGTGGCGGCCTACCGGATGACGCGCGTTCCGTTCGGTGTTACATCCAGCCCATTCCTATTAGCCGCAACATTACGACACCATCTTGAAGGACTCCCAGAGCAGTATGCTGAGACTGCGAACATCCTGCGCAGCCATCTCTATGTTGACGACCTTGTGACAGGGGTCGACACCCTCGAACAGGGTAAAGTGCTATGCCAGGAATCAAGCGATATATTATCTCAAGCAGGAATGCGGCTCCACAAGTGGATGTCTAACGACCACGATTTAGTCAACTTCATAGAGGATGGGAACGTGGCGAAGAGGAATGCAAATGCCGAACTTCCTGCAGCCACCAAGGTATTGGGAGTAGGTTGGAATGCTCATACAGATAACTTCGAGTACAATCTGACCTCACTTCTTGAATTCCTCACCACAAGAGCCGACAGCAAGAGATTCGTATTGCAAGTCTCAGCCAGAATTTTCGACCCCTTTGGGTTTATCGCTCCTACAACACTGTACGTAAAGACAATGTTCCAAAGGTTGTGGGAGTTGGGAGCGGGTTGGGACGACCCCTTGCCAGAATTGATGCAAGCGGAGTGGAAGTGCTGGTGTGAAGAGCTTCAATGCATCAAGGCGGTGTCCATTCCGAGGATCATCGCAAGGGATTTCCGAGATGAAAAGACAGAGAAGGTGTTGCACATTTTCTGCGATGCCAGCCCAAAGGCCTACGGTGCTGTCGGATACGTTGCATGCAAGTCTGCTCAAGGAATAATCAATATAAGCCTAATTATGGCCAAATCAAGAGTTGCCCCTTTGAAGCGCCTCTCGTTACCCCGACTAGAGCTGATGGGGGCCCTCATTGGTGCTCGACTGTGCCACTACGTTGCCAAGGCCTTGAACCTCCAGAATGCTGCTGCCATCCTTTGGACCGATTCCACAGTGGCTATGCACTGGATTAAAGGAAACGCTGCCAGATGGAAGCCCTTCGTGGCAAACCGAGTATCAGAGGTTCAGGCGCTGACTGATCCCGAGGATTGGAGGCACTGCCCAGGACTAGACAACCCCGCTGACCTAATCACTCGCGGTATCCTCCCATCAGCCTTGTTAGAAAGCGAATTGTGGTGGAGAGGACCACACTGGCTTCACAAGGATAAGACGCATTGGCCAACGACCGGTGAGCAGAGCCCAGGGGCAGTAGAATGTCACCTGGAAGAGCGAAAAGTGACGGTGATGCCCGTAATATCATCGCCGTTCGAGGCAGGTGCTGAAAGTAGAGGAGTTCAGCTCATGCAGCAGAGTCGTGCGCTTAACTGCGTGGGTCCGCCGCTTTGTCAACAATTGCCGCCGCGGGAAAGAAAGGAAAGGTGGTCCGCTACGAGCTGAAGAGGTGATCGATGCTGAGAGGTACTGGTTGGCAACAACTCAAGGAGAAGCATTCAGTGACGACATTTCCAACTTGAAAGCCCAAAGACCACTGCACAAAGGCTCTCCTGTTCTGCCACTCAGTCCGTACCTTGACGGGGAAGGTCTCATGCGAGTTGGTGGACGCTTGCAATTCACCGACAACCACGAAGAGACTAAACATCCCATCATTCTACCTAGCACTCATCCCTTCACGCTACTGCTCATAAGGAAAGAGCACGTGAGAATGCTACACTCAGGGGTGCGCGACACCTTGGCGTCATTGCGAGAGTCGTATTGGATCATCCGAGGGCGCCAGGCCGTAAAAAAGGTTATCAAGCAGTGCCTCATCTGTCGCAAACAAAGTTGCCCTCAAGCCACGGAACCAGTGGCACCACTTCCAGCTGACAGAGTAACAGAAGGAAATCCGTTCGACACTGTCGGCATCGATTTCGCAGGACCTTTGATTTGTCAAGAGTCGCGCGGTGCCCGAAAATGTTACATCGCAATTTTAACCTGCGCTGTGACACGTGCCGTCCATCTTGAGCTCGTTAGCGACATGTCGACTACAGCCTTTCTCCTGGCTTTCAAGCGCTTCGTGGCTCGCAGGGGAATCTGCTCGACTATTTATTCGGACAACGCGCTAACCTTCAAGAGAGCAGCAAAAGATCTGAATGCAATGTTCACGCTACTAAAATCAGAGGAAATGCAGTCATACTTCGCCGGAAACCAGATCAGGTGGAAGTTTATTGTTGAAAGGGCAGCTTGGTGGGGCGGATTCTGGGAACGGTTGGTGCGATCGGTGAAGGTAGCGTTGCGCAAGGTGTTAGGTCGGAGCAGTTTAAGCTTTGAAGAACTCACAACTGTCTTGTACGAAGTCGAGGCCGTAATAAACTCACGCCCATTGACTTTCACCTACGATGATGCTCAAGAGCCAGAACCACTGTCGCCGGCGCACTTCCTCGTCGGAAGAAAGCTGACAACCCTTCCTCCACACCACCTGCCAGCCGAAATTCCGGGCGGTGACGCGCATATCTCACGACGCTGGAAGTACCGGTCTGCCATGGCTGAAGGATTCTGGAGACGGTGGCGGAGAGAGTACTTATTGGAGCTTCGATCGGCGCATCTGTCCCGGCCAACGACATCGAGTGACCTAAAGATAGACGATTTAGTTCTTTTAAAGGAAGATCATCTCAAACGACACATGTGGAAGATCGCCAGAATCAAGGAAACGTTCAAGGGCAGGGACGGCAGGGTGCGGGCCTGCAGTTTGAAACTAAGCGGGGGAACGGTGGTGAAACGACCAATACAGCTGCTTTATCCGCTAGAAGTCGACCGACAATGAGCTCAAGAGTTCGCTCATCCGGGGGAGGTTGTTGTATTTGTCGCATACTGGGAAGCAGCCCCCGCTTCGGGGGAGCGTTAATTGAAAGACTCCGCGGCGAAGAGGGGGAGGAGGGGCAACTCGGAGGGACTCGTTTTCGGGTGGTTCGCGTGACGGGCAATGCGAAAGGAGCGAAGGGCGTCCTTGACATCTGTTTTTACCTACAAGCCCAGCCGTGAAGGGAAAAGGGGGTGAGGGCCACAATG